TCGGGAATAGCAGCTTGTTGTTGTCGCCGGCCGAAGTGACATGTGAGCCTGAGAGACTTTCAAGGTTAACCAAGTGCCCCGCAGCTCCCACAGTGGGGATGCTGGCCCATGGCAGGGACTGCATGGGAGCCACCCCACCTGTGTTTGTCACTCGGGATGGGGATGGGCTTTTCCCCTCCACTGGGACATGTGGGGAGGACTTGGCCTGGGGGGACCCCCAGCTACTACCCCCAAGCCTATTTCTTCATGTGGCTGTACCCTGTCTTTGGCAGAAGTGATTCCTGTCAGAGCAATCATACATGGTCAGACCAGTATTGATGGGAAGCTGTGCTGTCAAAAATCACCTTTCCAGGTTTCTGTGTGCTGAAATATTGTCCTTTTCATTCCTCAGCAAGAGAGAATTGAATTGGATCGTCTCTTTCAAAAATACGTACCCTACCTTATTGATATGATTGTAGAGGGAATTGTGGGCGGCAGACATGGAGAAAGGCTGAAGACCATTGTTCCTCAAACAGATTTAAATATGGTAAGGAACAGAGAATAAAGGTTGAAAAATTTTATCTGAAAAGATAAATGGAACAATGGAGAGAGTAAAATTCCCCTGGAGAAAGCACAGGAGTGAAGTCCTTGCCAAAATGTCAGTTTGCTAGTGATGAGCACCAGGAGACAGAAGAAACAGTCAGTTCCTAACAATGTTCTTCTACTGTCATTAGTACTTGTATCAGTAGATACACCTGTAAGGACAAAGGATCAGCAAATGCTCAAACAGCTGAAAACATTAAGAGTTTTCATGCATCTAAATGGCAATTCTGTTTATGTTTTGTCTTGTTTTACAACAGGTGGTGCAGTTGGCTGTGATGCTGGAAGCTCTAGTTGTGGTACATTCTGATGACCTTGATGTTCTGGAGTGTTTTTTCTTGGAAGCTTTATATTCCTCCTTAGGTGCTGCTCTTCTTGATGCTGGAAGAATTACATTTGATGAAAATGTTAAACGTATTTCATGCATGCCTACAGTTCATGATGATAACGTCCTGGCTCAGCCAGGGGAACTGCCAGGTAGGATCTTGTCATAATTTTGTCTGAATCCCCTTGATTATATTAGAAAAGTGTTATGTTCCATGAAGGCAGAACATTGTTCTTCCTTCTAACTGGTTATTCTGGCTGCAAAATTTGCTCTCTGAAGGACTGTCACTGAGAACCAAGCAGAGATATTGATGCTAGATGACTCTCAGCTACTCGTCTGTCCCCATGGAACAGTACTTTTTGATGCCAGGCTGAAGAGATAAACAGTGAAAGGAAAAATAAAACGTGAAAGGAAAGCCAGTGGAAGGTGCTTAAAAAGAGATAGTATGATCCAAGTGCTGGACTAAGAGAATTTTAATTGATGATTTACTGGGTTAAATGACAAGTAAACAGAACACAGTGTTGCCCAACTTTGTCCAGAATCTTACGTTTCACTTTCCTCTCAATCAGATTATTTTCTTATGAGATATTTCAGTGCCCTAGAAAACTTTCAGTTGCTTAATGGTTTGCAGCTCAGCTGCCAACTTTGTATGACTTTCATTTTGATGGATTTCGAAAAAAGTGGATACCTTGGCTGAAACTTGTTCCTGAATACATTCATAAACCTCAAGTGAAATTTCTTGACATTCTAGGTGAGTGTAAGATGATGATATGCCTTTAATTTATAATGTGGCATCACTGTGTGCATGGCACTTAACGTGAGACGTTCTCTTTCTGTGCTGAAGGTCATCTACTCAGGTTCAGTTTCTTGTGATGGTACAAATCAATTTCTTTAATTTTCTTGTCATAGTAGTTTAGAAGAAATAGAGTTGATATTTACAGCACTGTGTAATAAAGAAATGAGGAAAGGATTAAAAGCTTGTTTCAGTTAATAAGGGTTACTAGGAGCCAAAGATGGCTCCTTTTACAAGCCAGAATAGCAGAAGATTCACGGTCTGCTCTACTAGAAACTCTAGGAAAAAATTCAGCTGTGATTCAAATACTTGTTAGATAAAAATTACGTTCTTAAGGCTGTTATTGATTGCTACTTCAAGCACTATATAATGGGGACAGGTGCTTTTCATAGTTGAGAACAAATTAGTGCAGGTTACTTTATAGTAATACTTCAACAAGCACAGGTTAACTTCACTGACACAAAGGATAATTATGTGATCTCTAAAGTTACTCCTAATGGCAGGCTAGTCACATAGAACATAATGAATCTCTCTAGAGTTCTGGGAAAATGCTTATGATTCAAATAAATCCTGATTATATCCTTGAAATATGGATTAAATGGAGCTTAACCAGTCCATGACCCTCGTATATGAAAGATTATTTCTTTTTTAGTGTATCTATAGGAGAAAAGATCCCAATGATAAAAGCTGGAAAGACATGGCTGAGCAATTAACATTTTCTTTCAACATATTGAGTTGATATTTCAAGTTGTGTCTTTGTGCAACTACATGTTAATACCTTGAGAGTCTGATCCAGCACTATTCTATAAATATAAATCCCCTGGCTGTACTGCATTTTAATTTAATATGCTATCATATTCATGATCTTTTTCAGTGCCTACAGTGGATACAACACGCACTACTTGGTTACTAGAACAGATGGTAAAAACAAAACGCCCAGTTGTTCTTGCAGGTGAATCGGGTACATCTAAAACAGCAACTACACAAAACTTCCTAAACAATCTGGACAGAGATCTTAATGTATGTATGAGGCATTTTGCCTTGTTTGTAAAGCTGCATTTTTGTTCTTTGTCCTTGTGTTAAATTTGCATTGTGAAGCCTGAGTCTGTCCGTAGCAATATTGACTTTAGTTATGTGACTGCAAGCTTAGACCAAAAATGTGTGAATGGTTTCAGAATCCTTCAGTGTCAAAGATGTTTTGTTCTGTTCTACCATGTACAGATTCAGTTTTGTAAAATATATATTATGAAGTGGGCTTACTTTTCTTTGTCATCTATAATTCAAGTGAAAAAGTGGACCAGAGCAATGTCTCTTGGATGTCTGACAGCCTAATATAAAGTATATTTTTGCAATGTTCTAGTTAAAAAAAAGAACAGGTAAAAATCCATTCTTATCCCTTTCATTCCCTTTGCAGCTCCTGCTCATAATGAACTTCTCTTCTCGTACAGCATCGATGGACATTCAGAGAAACCTAGAGACATATGTAGAAAAACGAACTAAAGACAGCTATGGTCCTCCTATGGGAAAACGCCTCCTTGTTTTTATGGATGATATGAATATGCCAAAGGTAAGCATCCAGTGGTTTACAAGGTAGTATAGAAACATTTGGGGTGGCACTGCTGCGGTCCCTTCCTACCCAGATCTAAGGAATCACAAGTCAAGGGGATTCATGGTAAGTGTATAACTGGATTCTGACCTAGGATCTTTGGAAGAGTTGGACTTGTATGCAGTTGGGGATGTTTCTGTTAAATTATTTGTCCTGCAAATAAGTGAGATTCTGGTAATTTCTTTATGATGCTAAAATCATGTCTCTGTGGCTGCAGGTTGTGTGTTATAGTAACCATCCCTTTCTCTTTACAAATGGGGCAAAAAAGTATGTGTGCATTTAGTTCATCTGAGAGAAGCAGCACTTTTCTCATAGGAGACATTGGAGTGAATGTTCAGACTCAGTGCTAGAGCTTTGCAAAGTATCACTTAGTCCTTGTAATGTTCCCCTGAGCATGGAGCACAGTATTTCCATGTTTATGGCAGTAATTGACACGTACTGGATTTACTGTGCTCTAAACATCTTAACGCTTTTGTATCGCAAAGGTTGATGAGTATGGCACACAGCAACCCATTGCCTTGTTGAAGCTGCTGCTTGAAAAAGGTTTCTTGTACAGCCGTGGTAAGGAGATGACTTGTAAACTTCTTCGAGACTTGGATTTTATTGCTGCCATGGGGAAAGCTGGAGGAGGTCGGAATGAAGTTGACCCTCGATTCATCTCACTCTTCAGTGTTTTCCTTCTGAACAATCACTGAATTTGATCTATGCCTCCATCCTTAAAGGCCACACCATGGTAATGTCACTGTTTTTAAAGGATCACTCAACAGTTTTATTGTTTTTAAAGAGACATTTATTTCTGTGTTATCACAGGACCTGAAATCTTCTGTTACCCCTTTTTTTCTTGTTTAGAACCTCATTAGAACTCATTCTTAAGAGATGAGTTTACATTGGTTTTATAAACTCTTGAGTATTATGTATACTTTCAAGTCAGCAGATAATTTGTATAACTGGTGCTTTTCATAGGGCGAAACATGTGAACGTTGGGTTATGCCTCCTATAACCACATACACAAAGGTCAGCAAACTCTTTCCTGAATGAAAGTGAAAAATTGAATATAATGCAGTAGACTGCATTGCTAGCAATTAAACTGCGACATGATATCAGAAAAGAGCAGTTTATGTTTTCTGCTATGGAAGTGCTGTAGAAATGCCAGTCATGGGGATGATGTTGTCTTCAGCACTGTGCAAGCCTGGGAGTGAAGATGGGCGCTGCCCGAAACATTTAACTGCAGAGGAATGAGAATTTCTGAAAATGTTTGCCCTCAGTTATTTGAAATATATCAGGCAGGGTTAAAAGCTGGAAAGCAGAATATGTTTAAAAGCATTGAGTTATCTCTTGGCATTCTTTGGAAAGTGCCTCTTATTTCTCATGTTTGCAGACGTTTAATGAGTCTATATCAGCCATCTCTGACAAGATTACTGTGTGTACTCTGGAGCTTTCTAAACTGATTATTCGTGACTTACCCCCTACTCCTTCCAAATTCCATGACATTTTTAACTTGCGGGATCTTTCCAGGGTGTACAATGGACTTACTCTTCCAAATCCAGAGAGGTAAGAATAGAAAAATTGTCTTCATTTGTCCTACACCTCTTTATATTGGATGAATCTGGGTGAAGATAAGGTAATCAGCCACATGAAATCAGTCATATTTGGTCACTTTTCATTAAGCTGTCACCACAATAAGAAAATGTTCAGGAACATCCTAAATTGTGATCTTACTCTTGATGATGAACAATGCTGTGTTAGTCTTTTATAAGTAATATCCAGAGGTATAAATGCAAGGAAATTAATCATTTGTCCTTCTGAAAAGAACAAAACCAAAAAGAGTTCAAAAAGTCAATCCAGGCTCTGATCAGTGTTTTTAGACATATGGCCTTAGGAATCACGTCAGCTTATTTGGCGCAGTCTGATATTTTGATGTTAATGTAGGTTTCAAATGGTGACCCAGATGGTGAGAGTTTGGAGAGATGAGTGCCTCAGGGTTTTCCATGACAGGCTGATTAATGAAGCAGATAAAGCATTGGTGAGTAGTTTCTTTCAATTTTTAGTAGTCACTGACTATTACTATGGCAATTAATTTGCAACAGCAACATTACCAACTCTTGCACTCTGGTTTTGCAGTCAGACTGGAGACTTGTCTGACCACTGTGTTGCTCCATGAATTTAAAACATGGCCCATGGAGTTTTCTTTTTTAAATAAAAGTAACTATGGCAGACTAAGTGAGCGGATCTGCTGAAGGAACAGAAAATGTTGCTGCATTTGCTTGTCCAGGAAAATTGATTTGGAGTGGCACAGATGACAAAGTGTGGGAACAATGGAGAGGAAAACTCAGGAAACCACTCAAGTTTCAAGTCAGTACCTTCCTTTAGGAAGGATCGTATCAGAATGTGACTATACAGTCATGTAGGAAAAATAAGGATAGGAGTCCAGTCCTTAAACAATGCACTTGGTTTTGACTGTTATGCAAACTGGAAAATGCTCCAAATTATATCTTAAGCCACAAGAGAGAATTACACCAGTTTTATACCTTGAGAAGTAGGGGAGGATTTGAGTAAAGTTTCGTTACATATAAGGAACCTGCAAAGCATGTGCTTAGATGAAAAGGGGTAGATTAAGGTGGCTTCAGATTTTCCTGCTTCAGATTTTCTCCTCTAGCATACAAAGATACATTTCCAGCTCAGTTTTAATTACTCAGAATAATTATATTGCCATTTTTCTGTATTTGTACATTCAGACTTACAAGATTTGAGAGAAATCTTGGTGGTGAGAACTCTATGAATGCTGAGAAGAAAGGTTTATTAATCTAATATTTACACCAATATATGATAAGGTGTTTTTCTTAACAAGCTCATCCTTTTCTGTGTTAAACTTCTGCAGTCCATTGACTTGAACTTCCAGTTCTTGAACTGCCTCTTAGATAACTTTAGATCATACACAGAACACAATAGGAGGCTGTGGTATGTGGATCTTGTGGCGACGTAAGCATCCCCTTGAAATCAGGTTGTATTTGAGCATGAGTGAGTTATCACCCTTCTGAGTGTTGCTGGATTCAGAGTCATCTGCTTTGTTGTGTTGCCTGACTCATTTCATATACTTGAAGGTACAAGGTCATATAAAAAACCTGATTGAAGAGAATTTCAAAGATGACTTGAAGCAGGCCAGGAGAGATCCTATACTTTTTGGAGATTCCAGAACGGCACTGAGTGAAGAACCTCGAGTTTATGAAGATATCCAAGATTATGATGCAGCAAAAGCTCTTTTTCAGGTAGTGTGCATCAGCTTGGAACCATGCCTGATTCTGTCTCTGTGCCTGAGGAATGGGTAGGATCCTGCCTTAAACTGTAGAAAATCTGTTCTCTTTTTGTGTGCACAAAGAATTTTACCCATTTGGGATCTGCAGTAATGAAAATTGAGCATCAGCTACAGAGTTGGCAGTATTTTTCGGTAGTTTATTTTTCCGGAGGAAAGGGAAAGGAATAATGCTGCTAAATGAGTTGTTATTTTATTAATGTTATTAATTGTTTCCTTGGTCTCCTAGTAACATTCTGTCCACTTTTCTCTGCAGGAGATTTTGGAGGAATACAATGAAGTTAATATTACAATGAATCTAGTTCTTTTTGATGATGCTTTAGAACACTTAATCCATGTGCATCGCATCATACAGCTGGATCGTGGGCATGCCCTGCTCATAGGAGTGGGAGACTCAGGAAAACAGTCTCTGACAAGACTGGCTGCCTATACAGCTGGGTATGAGGTTAGTGACCCTTCCTTTTTGCAGTGAGCAAATACAAGGAAAGCAATGTTGTGATAAGGATCGAATTGGTGTGGCAGGTGCAAGGCAGTCAGTCGAGATAAGATAAGGCTGGCATCTCTTCCCTATAGAGAGAAAAACAGGGTGAGGTGACAGCCAGGAGGTCTAAGATGATGACTGTGGGTGATCAGGGCAGGAAGATGTCGGTGCCTGAACTTGGGTTTTGGCACTGGAGACAGAAAACAAGGATAGGTTTTGGGGTGAACAACTACATAGTCCCAAATTACTGCTTTCATTACTTAACTGTATTACGGCAGCACTCTGGTGCTGTTTGAGGAACTTTGTTGTGTTTGATACTGTAATCTTTCAGCTAGGAAATGTTCCTCTCTCAGAGGTACTTTCAGTCTGTTACAGAGGCTGTTGGCTTGGAAGGGAAGAACAAAAAAGGAGGATGAACACAAAGTGATTTTGAAAATGCAGTCCTGCAGGGTTGCACAAATGTAATTTTAAAAAAGTATGTAGTGCGTATTTTTGTTCATACTTACATGTTTACTGATGGTAGGTGTCAGACCAAAACCCTCGATCCAGTCTAATTGAAATTCAGAGTTACCATCATGTGTTGGGCCCGTCTGTACCTTCTGACTATGTGTTTGGATCCTTAGGTATTTGAGATCGTCTTGAGTCGAGGATATCGAGAAAATAATTTCCGAGGTGATTTGAAAAATTTGTACCAGAAGCTGGGTATTGAGAACACGTCAATAGTCTTCTTGTTTACAGATGGCCATGTAGCAGAAGAGAGTTTCCTAGAACTCATCAACAACATGTTAACTTCAGGTGACGCAGGCAGCCTCAATTACTCCTGATCAGTATCTACTTGTGACTCATAATCTCAAATGTACCCTTGATCCAGCTATTACTGTTTCACCCTGTGCCCTCTGCTGCTTTAGTTTGTTACACCTTTCAGTACTACCTGAAATGATCTTGGCCTTAATAATGGCTTTTTGGCATCTTCTTACAGTCATTTGTATGTATCTGGGAAGGCTATAGGATTAATTCATGCCGATCATGATGTTGCAGGTGTCTCAGATTTCTTCCAAGACTGAGATATAACTTCAGTTGCATTTGACCACAAACCCACCATTTGTCCCATTGGATTTTGAATAGCATTTACCTGAACTGCAGCAGCTGCTTATATAGAAATGTCCTAAGCTGTAGTTCAGTATCTTTTAGCGTATGCAGCAGCTGAAGATGAGCAGCAGCCGTCACCGTGTGACCGCCCTCTCCATAGAGGTTCCTACACAGTCTGATTTGAAAACAGCTGTATTCAATGTTACTGCTTTCCTTGGTCTAGTCTTCCATGTTCCTGTTCTGCTCATGTCTGTCATAAGGTAACTTCTGCAATATTTTTCATGTGATTGAGAGAATGAAAATCTGAACTGATGGTTTTTAGACAGTAATGAAGATTTTTCTTTGCAAAGTTCAAAGCACTTTGTGTTCTTGTGACATTTTGTTGAATTGTGACATGTTGCTGAAGCCCAAACAAAGATGAATTAGTTATTCTTCCAAATCCTCTTGCATCATCCTAAGTACTTCCTCTCTGTTTTCCATGTGGGCTGAAGGGAGGAGGAGAAGCATAGATAGATTAATAGATTAATTCAAAACTACCCAGAATAATTTTTGCAGAAGTATGTTTAAAATCTGTGGCTCTGGTTTCTCATCTGCCCTGTCTCCAGCCATGTGGTTTTCTCCTACTGCTTGTTCTCACTAGCATTCTTCTGTCCTTATGTTGCAGGAATGGTGCCAGCCCTTTTTCCAGATGATGAAAAAGACACCATAGTACGAGCGATTATGGATGAAGCTACTAAAGCTGGCACGAGCCCATCTAAAGAGAGTGTCTGGCAATATTTCGTAAATAAATGTGCAGGCAACCTTCACATTGTCCTAGGAATGTCCCCAGCTGGGGACAGTCTGAGAACGTGGTGCAGAAATTTCCAAGGTATGAATTGTATACAAGCAATGCTTAGCCATTTCCTTGTGAAAGACAGGCTTGTAGGCAAGCGAAAATCTCCAGTGGACATGCAGAGATGTCTGGCAGCTAAAGCTAAGCAGAGCAGGTTTCATGATGAAGGATTTGCAGTGCATGATTTGTTTTCGGTTAATTACCACGTATCAGTGAGTATTATTGATTAGCATTTACCAGATCAGTTCATTTTCCAGCTGAACAGCTGGAAATCAATTGGTCATCTTCATTGAACTGGAACTCTACAGCCTATGTTTGCAGTCTCTCGTGTGTAGTTTACAGAAGAATGCCTGGTAGTAGATCATTATGAAACTAGGATGCAGGTAAAGGAAACATTTTTGTATCCAAAGCAGAAAAAAAAAAGGCATGGTGAGAGGGACACCCAGTAAGAGAAAAAACACCTGAGTTCGGTGGATGCTGTGCTTCAGCAGGTAGCTGAAAGGAGTCCTGGGAGATTGAAGAGACACGTGAAAGATGGGTATGGGTGGGAAGCCTAACCCAGGCATTAAAGTACCTTCTTGCAGCTCTTGGCTGCGTCCTGTAGAATGGTACAGCCTAAAGAATAGTACAGTGGGGTCAGCAGCACACAGGTACAAAGTTGATTCTTTACTAATGAAATGGAAATATTGACTTTGTGGTAAATATCGTTGCTAAGCAGGAGTCAAATAAGACAGATCCTTGATATGAACAAAGTTAAGCGCGGGACAGTGCAGCAGATTAGAGTCTATAGTTTTACAAAGGAATTTTTTATATAACGTTATCCTTTTATTTTAAGGTCTTGTCAACAATACTGGTATTGACTGGTTCTTGCCTTGGCCTCCCCAGGCCTTATATGCAGTCACACAATCTTTTGTTGGTATGTAAAATCTCAGTAATTTAACCCTTTAACCCTTGGGATAATAGCCTAAGAAATACCTTTTTTACTTCACAGTTATTGTAGATTTCATAATTTGTTTTCCCATTGTGCTTGTTACCCTGAGTCTAAACAGGTGATGCAAAATCCTAGTCAAAAATTGGTTTTGGATGGAAGTTTCTTACACAAATGGTTTTAAAATATTGCTAAAATTCAAGTTCCCAACTCTGCAGACAATGTGGCCTGCTTACCAGGAGGCCCAGGTTCTCTCCTGACTCTGCCTTCATCTTGCTTTTTGCCCCAGAAAAGACTTCTTTTGTGCCTGGCTTAGATATACATGAGAAAGACAGCAATGGGGAGACTTTAAAAAAAACAACAACAAAACCAACAAAAACTTTGAAATACTTTGTTTCTTCTGTCCAATTTTAGAAAATAACAGACGCATCCCATCGGAGAGCTTCAAATCAGTGACTGAACACATGGTTATGGTGCATGAATCTGTAGGGGTTTTCAGCAAGAGGTTTCTGCAGAAACTGAGACGTAGCAACCATGTCACACCAAAGAGTTACCTTGATTTTATCCGTAATTATTCAAAATTGCTGGAGGAGAAAAATGAGTTCATTTTAGGTAAGGCTGTGTAGACTTTTTTTACTTTTTAATAAGTGATTTAAGTATTTTAAAAAGAAAAAAAATGTGGTAAGAATCCCATATATTACCCACATTATGGAAGGATAATTTTGTCAGTGCTATCTCAAATGCTGTGCTGGCATCTGGTTTTTACATTGGACCAATGTCCTAGCCACATGTGAATGCTCAGGCTCTGTCTGTCAAATGGTGAGCTAACCTCACATTCTTTTGTGCATGAACCTGAGCCAGAATCTCCAAACCAGACTCACTCCTTTGCTTGGGGAAGAGTCTAATTAAATCTACTACTAGCTCAGCCTAGCCTAAGGTTTGACATTCTTCTTCAAGCAGCGAGTCTTAGTTCATACTTCAGTATGAAATACTTCACTGAAATATGTGAAGGGGATAAACCATGAACAGTGTAATACGGAAAGCAAGTTGTGGCACAGGGCCACTATGTGGCAACTCAAGTGACATTAACACCATCTTGAGTTGGGAGGCTTAGGAAAGGTTTTTTGTTTATATATATTATATATATTTTTATTTATTATATATAGTATATATACTTGTATATACTTTCATTAACAAGGTTGCCTTGAGTGCAAGGTAGGTATAGTATATGTATAGTGCAATATAGTGCCTTTATGCACCTATAAGCATGGTTCTCTTCTGTGAGATTGCCTGTTGCCATGTGGTAGTACACAATCAACGAATCACTAATGTTTCTCCCTTTTTTTCCATCTAGCGCAATGTAAACAGCTGGATGGGGGCTTAGTTAAACTGAAGGAAGCTGGTATACAGCTGGTTGAGCTGAACAAGAAACTTGCTGAGCAAAATATTGTGCTAGCAGAAAAATCAGCTGCTTGTGAGGCTTTCTTACAAGAGATTTCAACAAACAAAGAAGCGGGTAGGTAGTTTACGACTACTGATGTGTCCCACAGGCTAAGCAAGGCTCGCATCGTCTGTGTTGTGGGGTTGGAAGGCCCTCTTCTAAGATCTCCAGCTGCTTCTAGAGCAGATCTAGCTGTGCTGATCTAGTGTCATGCTGGAAAAGTACGTCCCCTATCTTGCCCTGATTGCCATCTTTGCAATGTATTTGATCTACAGTACTTTACACAACTCAATACTATGTTCTCCTGCCCGTGTCTTCCCTTCACAAGGTGTAGGGTGTAACATGGGAAAGAGGCATTAGCAAGAAAGGGACGTTCTGATTAAGAAAATTACTATTAGAGGAAAAGCAGAGGGAAGTGTGGGAGGAAGAGATTATGCATGCTCTTGTATGAAACACTAACAGTGTTCCTAATCTGGTGATGGAATGGTAAACATTGGCAAGCTAGCAACAAAAAGGTACTGAGTTGGTGGTAATTTCTGATTTTCAGCCAAAAACAGATATATATTAGTATATGTTCTGTATACAAATTTGAATAATCTGTTTATGGTCCTGCCTTTACAATTCCTAGCTGAGGAGAAGCAAAAAACTGGCTGAAGAAAAAGCTGTCAAGATACAGGAACAGAATAAGACAATTGCTGTGGAGAAGGCAGCTGCTGAGAGAGCTCTGGCTGAAGTCATGCCTGTTTTAGATGCTGCCAGACTGGAGCTTCAGAAGCTTGACAAGTCTGATGTTACTGAAATCAGGTGACTCATCTGGATGTACAGTAGCAGAAACTCGAAGAAATTCACTGAAAGACCCTTGTTTGCAGGGTCTGAACCTTAGCCTCACCTTTCGCACCTGCGTGGTGTGTGAGTGCAGTCAGGCCATCAGTTGTGTGGGTGCAGAGGTCACGACAGAATCCCCTGAGTCCTAGCCCAGGACTCCTCCTTAAGCCTGTTATTCCTTCCACTCCTTTGTTTGATGTCTTCCTCATATTTCTCTACTCTGTGTGTGATGCACTCAAACCTGCTCTGGTTTTGCCTGAGCAGTGGCTGTCCAAACCCCTTCATTCCTCCTCTGTTTTTGTTCAGTGTGAATACCAGTACCACATACCAGTTTTTTTTCAGGCTTGCTTTGATAGCATGAAAATATATTTCTCTGCTGAATCAATTTCTTCTTGTGTTTTTATAATACATCTTGTATTGTGAATAGATGTGAAAGCACATCCAGTCTTCGGCTCTCCCTAAAATAGCAACAGCTCTCCCTTCCCTGCCACACTTGTTTAGTTTCCTTTTTCTCATAGATCTCTGGATTCTTCTGTACTGCTTCTCCCTATGGACAGCTGCTTCACTGCCCTAGGAAAGAATATAATGGCTCAGGGTTTTAGACATTCCACTATTGAGATCCTCTAGTATTCTGTTGTCTGAATACAAGAATTAGTTTTGAGCTATTGACTGGTAATAATTTATTGTCCAACCTGGATTATCTTTTTCACTTTGTAGGATGTCTTTGGCACTAGCTCTTGTTGTATTGCAATGACTCTTTTAATGGAAAGTACCTGTGCCTGGCATCATGTGTTTTGTCTCCTCTGCTGTCTCCTTCCTCTGTTTTCTAGATCCTTTGCAAAACCCCCTAAGCAGGTGCAGGGTGTTTTGGAATGTGTTCTTATAATGAGAGGTTACAAAGAATTAAACTGGAAGACAGCCAGAGGAATGATGTCTGAGGCAAATTTCCTGCAATCTCTGCTGGATACAGATTTTGATGGAATTACTCAGAGCCAAGTGAAGTCTATCTGAGGTAAATTACTGACCTGTATACTTGGAATGAAGGTAGCATCTTGTTAATGTGATTAGCCATGTCAGCAGCAATCTTTCCAGTGTTGTTTGGGAGGCTGGGATTCGCTTTGTGCAAAGGGACAGCACTGTCTGCAATGCTGCAGATGTTGCACTGTTGGGGTGACTGAGTTTTTCAGAGTTCAAAAACCTTCTGCTATGTGTTAAATCCAGTTTATAGACACTTTGGTTTACAGCAGGCAAGAAACAAACAGGACAGCTGAGTGGGCATGCTGTCTGCTTTTAGCCACTTTAGAAAGTAGAATTACAAGCTCATCCATGTGGTGGCAGTTAAAATGTGATATGCACAGAGTGGAAAGAAGATAAACTTTATTTAAAGCTTATGAACCGAACTTTGCACGTGCCCCCGAGGGTGTAATCCAGAGAAGTTCCATTAAGAGGGGTATTTGGCCCTTTGAACAAAATTGCATCTGACTGTTGCAGAGAAAACAAACCATGATCCTGAACAACTCTTGAACGCACTCCCTTCTTGGTGAAAGAACTTGATAAATCTCTAGCAGTATTGTGCTTGTATTGTTACAGCCCAGCCCGATTGTCTTTCACAGCATTACTCGATATTGCTGGTAGGGAATGGTATTTCTCTGAGGATTTCTGTACTGTAGTTCAACTCACAACGTTTTTGTGTTTGCCCATTTAGCTCTGTTAAAGAGTCTTAATACTACCTTCGCTGAAATGACTTCCCAGAGCAGGACTGGGAATGTTAAAGTTTGTCGATGCAGCGATGAGCTACTGTGATGTAGTTAAAGAAGTCAAGCCAAAGAGAGAGAAGGTAGAGTGTGTGGATGCATGATCCGGATGAGAAAAATAATACTCGGCAATTCCATAGACTGCCTATTTCTCCTCTTTGAAGTGCTTAAAAAGAGGTGTTTAGGAGAGCTATTGCAGCAGGGGTGAGGCAGGCACTCAGGTATAAACTGCTGTGTTTGTTGTGTCATGCTGCGATGTGGGTTCTCATTCATGCCAGTGCTTGAAGAAGGGGTAGGAATGTCTTCAGTTGGAATTTTGTAATCTAACATGCTTAGAAAAACAGTTTTTAGCTGTCTACTGAAAACAGACTTCAAAACGTACAGCATTTGGACAGAGCAGAGCCCAGTAGTATACAGCATCCGTGTCCCTTAAGCACAGACCTTTTTGTTCACTTTTTTTAGAATGACTGGAAAGTTACCTGTATTACCAAAGGAAATCTAAAATCATGCAGATGATGCTGGGAAACTTTCTTCAAGAAAAGGTTATTATATCAGCTGACTACTGAGAAAGTATATTCACTAGATGATGAATCGGACTATTTTTGAGGTCTTAATATTATTGTTATTAAGCAGACAAGCCTCCCCTTTTGTCGTGGGATGACAGTCCCGTTGACCTCCAGTGTCAGCAGAACTGCTCCCATGCTTTAATATACCTTGTGGGTACAAAACCCTAGGAAATTTATCTGCTTTCGAGCTGCAGTATCAGACTGTGATGTATATGTTTGGGATGGGGAGAGGTGGGTGAGAATAGTGCCTGTTATTCTGGCTTGCGCTGTTTATTACCAGGATGCCTTAAAATACATGCAATAGCCAAAAGAAATCTGAGAGCTTACCACTTTTCTCTAAAGCCCTACTTTCCTCTGACACTCTTATGTTTCCTTCATATTGTAATGTAGGTGGCTAGGATGGAGCAGAACTATTACTTAACTAAGCGGGAACTGGAAAAAATAAATGCAGAGTTGGGTACCATTCAGGATGAGCTTAAAGCTTTGAGCAACAAATATGAAGAGGCAGTAAAAGAAAAGCAACAGTTACTAGAAGAAGCAGAGATTATGAGGAGAAGATTAGATGCTGCTGACAAGCTCATCAATGGCTTGAGGTCTGAGAATGAGAGGTAAGTCTAGATTCAAAGAGGGATAAAATCTATCACACTGAAACATTTTTGGAAACGTCACTTCCTGTCATGTTTGTTTCTGAGAAGAGGCAGTGTCCATTCTAAGCTAATATTCATTAGCTCTTGAAAAATAACAATTTTTAGTGCAGAAGAAAAAAGTGAACTCGGATGAAAAGGAAGATAGTTCGTATCAACTCAGTGTCTGTGGCCATCATAATAGTGAGGGAACAACTGATTGTAAATGTGGAGGTCTGTCTCAATCTACATCTAAAGTAGCAGGAGCTGGAAATTCTGCACATAGACCCTGTCTTCCTGCTACAGACTGACCTCGGATTCCCTTATAATTCTATCAGGTGGACAAAGGAGTTAGAGGACTTTGAAATACGAAAGGTGAAGTTGCTTGGAGACTGTCTACTCTGTGCTGCCTTCCTGAGCTATGAAGGAGCATTCAACTGGGATTTTCGTAATGAGGTGATTTATCAAGTGTGGCAAGAAGATATCCTCTCACGAAAGATTCCTTTCAGTCAACCATTTAGGATAGAAAACCTCCTGAGTAATGATGTGGAGATTAGCAGGTATGTCCAGTCGAGAAGCCCAGTGACTACTGAATGTGAAATCATGAAGTGGGAGACTGGATGTGAATCTGTAGCATAGAATGGGCATTGTGGGTGGGGTGCACAGCCATACCAGAGAGAGCCCATTTTACTGTCGTGTCTCAAAAATGGCAGGGAGACCATTTATTTATCTTCTGGTTAGGGGCTATTTGTCATAACGAATGGTTGTACTTTTACACTTCAGGGACATTCACTGAACCTAGACACATATAATACCTTTTTAGGAGATTTTGGAAGGAATTATGTATAGTATGTGTTCAACCCAAAGCCCAACAGGAGTCTTTTCATTGACTTCAATTAATTTGGAATTAAACCCATGCCTGGGTAGCCCACATGTCAACTACTGCAGGATTACTCACCAAATGCAAGTCAGTGTTTTGAGCAGTGGGGTCACAAATGACTCAGACAATGAATCAGTCTGAGTTTTGTCACTGTTCTTACAATCACATACACTATGTGTTTCCTTATGTGTCTAATAGCATGCTCAATAAATTGCGTAATTTTACTGACAAATGAAATGTGCTGCTCTCCCATCAAGTTTTGTCCCAGCCTGGTCTTTGATTCATTCGGTTCCCAGGTGGGTTGCCCAAGGGTTGCCTCCAGATGAGCTCTCTGTCCAGAATGGCATCCTGACAACATATGCAAGCCGCTTCCCACTCTGTATTGACCCACACCAACAGGCATTACATTGGATTAAGAAGAAAGAAGAAAAAAATAACCTGAGGGTAAAGATAAATGATCATTTAACCTCTTTACTGGTTGTTTTAAGAGCTGCATAAATACCTGTCACCTTGAACAGGGAACCAGTTATATACTGACAAATGTGCGGACTCCTGTGTCTCTGAAATAGAAGTGAATATCACTGTTCACATGACCTTCAGTTCTTTGGGATGGATGGTTTGTTTGGGATCTTGGCCAGCCTTAATACCTGCAGTATAGCCAAAAGGCTGGTACAGATTGTTTTATTGCAGCGTAGGACAATTAACACAGTCAGAGGTGCAGCTGGAACTTTGAAGAATAGTTCTCCAAATGGAAATTATTCTCAACTGATGAGAAAAAAAAAACCCAAACAAAACTCACTACTACCGCTTTGGACCACACAGTTTATATCATCTGTAAGAGGAAAGACAAAAAGCAACAAAGTCTGAACTTCATTAGTTCTGTCAACTATTGTAAAATAATAATGTTCAGCAAATTGAACATCAGTTCATTTTTCATATCTTCCCATTATTCTTTTGCAGGTGGCTTCCTTTAATGACCCAGACTTCCTTAAACAACTTGAACTGGCCATGAAGTATGGAAACCCTTTCTTGGTGCATAGTGTTGATGAATATATTGATCCTGTGATAGACAATGTCTTAGAGAAGAATATCAAAGTTGCACGGGGGAGAACATTCATTGTCCTGGGTGACAAAGAGGTTGACTATGACACTAATTTCAGATTGTATCTGAACACCAAATTATCAAACCCAAAGTATTCTCCCTCTGTGTTTGGCAAAGCCATGGTTATCAATTATACCGGTAAGCAAAAGCGTGCATTTAGTAACAAAGCAGTGATTGTGCTGTAGTGCAAGTTTAGGGCCTGGGTGTTTGAAACAGCAATGAACCTCTAAAAAATTCATAGTCTCCCTTATACTTAGCATTCTTCTCACTTCTTTCTTTTAACCAGAAACTGAGCTAAATATCTCTTCTTGCATATGCCAGGTTAGGATGCTTTGGTAGAATTGAGATATAGAACCAAGTCACTCTGTTGCATCACTGTAGTTTTATGAGATGATTGAGATTAAATAAGTTGTGTAAAAGCTCTTCTTGTGTTTAAAAAAATGACTGTGTGCTGTGTACCTGTGTTGTATCTGTAGTTACGTTAAAGGGCCTAGAGGATCAGTTGCTCAGCGTCATTATGGGTCTTGAAAGAAGGGAGTTGGAAGAACAGAGAGAACATCTCATCCAGGAGACAAGTGACAACAAAAACTTGCTGAAAGATCTTGAAGACTCTCTCCTTCGGGAACTGACATCTTCCACAGGAAACATGCTGGACAACTTGGACTTGGTTCAAACCTTGGAAGAAACAAAATCCAAAGCTTCTGAGGTACTGGCTCTGGGCTTTTGGGAAAGATATCTACTAACATCATCCTTCACCCTTGAAGCTAGGAATTAGCTTGAAAGGAAATTGAGAGTTTTCTCGTGAATGTGTTGCACCTTTCAGTATTGGGCACTATTTTACTGCATCATGGATTAAGAAAAGTCCTTATCAGGACAAAAAATAATGGTTGTCTACAGTTCTAAAGCAAAGAGCATGTGATATATTTCTTTCAGCTCTAAAACAACCTTTATCTTGTATTGTATCTGATCTTAAATGAAAAAAAAATTAAGATATTTTTCACTCAGAGAGGATGTAGAATCGCCATCCTTGGAGGTTTTCACTCTGTAGTTGGACAAAGCCGCAGCCGATCTGATCTAGTCCAGCTTTGTGCCAGAAGTTGAACTACAGATCCCCAGAAAGCTCTTCCCACGCTATTTACATGATTCTTTGTAAATCTTTGCCTTTACTTATTGTAAATATACAGGGTGGGTTTAATTTTTTCATAACTTTCGGTTTTTACAGTTCATGCTAACTTCTTTAGGGTTACCTGCCTTGTCAGCATAGAGAGGCAGGTACTGAATAGCTCTGCCTGTTGTGATACAATACACAGACAATGGATCGGTGCAGTAATTACATGTGTATAAAATCAATGTATGGCTAGGTGATTGAAAAACTCAGTCTGGCTGAGACGACGGCGGTGGATATTGATCGTCTTCGAGATGGCTACAGACCAGCTGCCAGGAGGGGAGCCATTTTATTCTCCGTTTTGTCTGAAATGGCACTTGTCAACACCATGTATCAGTTCTCACTGGTCTCCTTCTTGGAGGTTTTTGAACTCTCTCTTTGGAAATCCATGCCCAGTCCTATTCTTCTGAAGAGGTTAAAAGCCATCATGGATACATTGGCTTTCAACACCTATAACTATGGATGCACGGGTTAGTGTGACCGAGTGATGGGCTGATACCGTGTTCTGCAAATGCCTGATAAAAGCCGTGCTGTTGGTTGGTTTACACTAAAGGGGCAAGTTACCAAACAGTGAATACGCTAATGTTTGGTTCTCAGCATTGCTCCCAGTTTACACTTTAGTCCCTGCTATTTCTGTTTGATGAAATTGTGTGCATTAATAATGCAAATTTTAAAGAAATGCTTTTCTTGATACAGTTATGAATGGTAAATCACAGCTATGAATCTCACATCCCTGATGTAGCTCACAGATGCTGTTTTGACGTTGTAAGCCTGATCCAAAGCCCCATCTTTGATCAGCCTGATCTCTGTGGAGTGACCAGATGCAGGATACGGTTTTAAAGATTGCTACAGTTTCACACATTTTAGCAGCTGATTTTTGAAAATACTGTCCTTTTAATGTAGGCTTGTTTGAGAAGCACAAGTTACTATTCTCCTTTAACATGACTGTCAGAATAGAACGCGCTGAGGGCAGAGTTCCACAAGAAGAACTTGAGCTCTTTTTGAAAGGTAAAGCGAGTATTTATATATTAATTTATAGCTATATGTAGCAATAGCTAAAAGATCTTTTGAAGGCAGATTTTGACTAGGCATGATTTGCTGTAAGGGCCAGCACCTAGAGAAACCACTGAAGGTAGCTGAACTGTGTTGGCTTACACATCTTGTGGATTCTGTTATTTCTGTTTCTTTCACTTTGTTAACCAGTGAAGAGGGTAATCTTTCTCTGCAGATGTTGACAAATCTCACGTTAACTAATGGTTAGGACATTACCTGAGCTCAACCTTTAGTTATTTTCCAAGTATGTAGAAATATTTTTAGGAATGTCTGCAAAGATAAAACAGGCTCTTGCAAGCACTTGTAAAATGCTCTTTTCCTCAGCAGACTAGTTTAATCTTACAGTGCTTCCAGAAACAAATTTCCAGTTGTTTCCTCTGTGCAGTGGGGCTGTATGTGTGGTCATGTACCAGAGAATTTACGACATGGACGTTCACTCTGGTTTCTGAATGTGACTAGGCAATGTTTCCCTGGAGAAGAGTGAACAAAAGAAACCGTATGCCTGGCTTCCAGATCAAGGCTGGGAAGACCTGATCTACTTGTCTGAACTATTTCCTGAGAAATTTGAATCTCTTCCAGATGATGCGGAAAAAAATCCAGATGTATGGAAAAATGTATGTGCTTTTCTGCAATCCTGTTCTCTCTCCTTGTTTTTCTTCTGGTATTAAATGTTCACGTACGGCGCAGTGTGCCATAGCACTCGGCAGGAGGCACGTCACCACTGGCTTTTTCTGTCAAGGCCTTGCTTTTCTTCTTGACTTCAGTTAGTGATTGGCTCATTTCCAGAAGAAATAGGGCTCTTATTGTTAAAAAACCAACCAAAAAATCTTCCCTGGTATACTGTAGATTTTTTATTTTCCAGTCAAATACCTTATATGAGTTATTTGCCCCTGCTGAAGTCAGTGGGATTTTTGGTGTTGATTTCAGCACCCAACATTTCACTGTTATTTTTGTCCTGTTAAGTTGTACTTTGATCTTCTTGCAGCAGTGAGCTCTGTAGGCTGGTTACAGACACAGACTTTGCTTTTTTCTGCCTTTAGTTTCATTCCATGTCTTCTTGCTTTATAACAAGTCTTTCTGTGAACAAATTGTTAATACTTTTTGCTTGAGATGCTCTTTTCTGTATCTGCAGAGAATTACTTGACATAAAATGAAAGTACAAATGAGTTTCTGGACTTGCATACTTTATACTGGAAAAGTTGAATATTTTACGTTCACCTAATCTTTTAATATTTCTTTGCAGCTGATAGACTTTATTCTTTGTTTTCCTTGTGTCTCTTGGCCACTTGTTACTCAGATTGCTTTTGTCTGCTTTCCTAGTAATTGTGCTGGTAGAGCCAGTTGATCCATTTGCATTGTCTCCCACCTTTTCTTGCCAGTGGTACGATACGGATGATCTGGAGCAGAGGCCATTCCCCATGCAGTACCAGGACAATCTCACGAACTTTCAGAAGCTCCTACTGTTACGGTGTCTCCGGGTGGACTGGCTATACCGGGCAGTAATGGACTATGTTACTGTGACCATGAGTGAGAAGTAAGTCACACTCTTCTTTCACATCCCAGTCATACCATTCAGGTATTTCACGCAGAACTGGAGTTATAGTAAATGTATGTAAATGACTTTGTAATTTACATAAACAACAGAACGTGACCTGTCTCTGTATCATTTCCAAGTGCACTCTGCAATGAGCTTCGATGGTTACACAAGAATAAAGACTAAAATTTAAAAGATCATTGTACAAGATGGCCGCTCGTGTGTAAATTAGCAGGTTTTTGTGCTTCTTTTTCCCTACCAGGTGTGTGCAGCCTCCTGTGATGCTCATCACATCTCCCTTCTGAGGAGCGGCTGAGGGAGCTGGGGCTCTTTAGTTTGCAGAAGAGGAGACTGAGGGGAGACCTCATTCATGGTTATAAATATCTAAAGGGTGAGTTCACGAGGATGGAGCCAGGCTCTTCTCGGTGACAAACAAGGATAGGACAAGGGGTAATGGGCACAAACTGGAACACAGGAGGTTCCACTGAAATTTGAGAAGAAACTTCTTCTCAGTGAGGGTGACAGAGCCCTGGCCCAGGCTGCCCAGAGAGGTTGTGGAGTCTCCTTCTCTGCAGACATTCAAAACCCGCCTGGACGCCTTCCTGTGTAACCTCATCTGGGTGTTCCTGCTCCGGCAGAGGGATTGGACTGGATGAGCTTTTGAGGTCCCTTCCAATCCCCAACGGTCTGGGATTCTGTGATCAGCTTTGAAGCTATCTTTGAGCAATGCAGTCCATACTCGCCAGTTGTTTTTATCTTAAGTCCTGGCTCTGATCCTGTCAGTGACCTCATGAAACTGGCCGAGAGGACAGGCTTCGGAGGGGATAGACTCAAATTCCTAGCCATGGGACAAGGCCAAGAAAAGGTAACTTTGGTGGACATGCTGTGTGCACCAAGTTAGTGTGTGCGGGCCTGTCCAAATTTCCTTTCCAAAGGCCTGCTCCACTTTCAAGGCAGTTACTTTGTGGTTCAGATGCAGAACATGATTTGCCAGCCTGGGAATAATACTTTCCTGTGATGTGAAAGGGGGCATTTGGCTGATTCGCTTATTTTATGGTTTGGGTAAGGGTACATGCAGAATGATATTGTCATCTGTTGTTAAAAAATAGCTGAGCTGAAAAGATGTTACCCTGCAGTTTTTCAAAGGTTAATCAGTGTCTCTGTGTCTCTGTGTATGGACCTGAGTTGATGGGAAGTCAGAGTTTGTCACCAAAAGAGGTCCTGCTGCCCCTTCTGTCTTTCCTGTAGCTTTACTTTTTGCTATGGACACTAAGGCAGGGATGTCCAGAGCTCAGCAGCTGACTGAATTTGCTGTGGTTTCCATCAGTGGGAGAACTCCTGTTAGATTCATTTAGACGACCACTTCCTAGGCTCCAGTTGTCACTTTCATCTGGGCCATGCACACTCCTGTACTCTTCTGAAATATTTCAGTGCTGTGTGTGACTTTGGATTTCAAAGGAATTAATAAAACTTTAAAAAGCATCTCAGAACAACTTCTTGTGGTATTGGTAAGGTCTGTTCTGAGCAAGGAGCTTTCTGGTAAGTCTATTAAAACTAAGAGGCCGAGCGTGCTTGCTGGCAGGAGGAAATCCATTGCACCAACCCATCAGAGTCAGTTTGCGTACCGGGTAAAGGGAGAGTTACTCACAGATGGTTCTTTCCCTCTTTTAAGATTGCTTTGCAGATGCTGCAGAGTGCGGCGGTTCATGGAGAGTGGCTGATGTTGCAGAACTGTCACCTTCTGGTGAGGTGGCTTCTCAATCTGGAAAAGGCCCTGGAGAGCATCACAGAGCCTCACCAAGACTTTCGCCTCTGGCTGACTACTGACCCGACCAAGGACTTCTGAATCGGGATACTGCAGAAGTCCTTAAAGGTACTGTGCCACGGGGAAACCCCAGCCAGGAGCTGCTCTTATTCATCAAAACAGACCGGCTTTGGGAGGAGTATGACCTGAATGCAGCACGTTGACCTGAGCTGTGTGTACTAGCCTTTTGTCTTTATAAGCCAAATCTTTTTTCCCTCACCCTGTTTATCTTATGGTGAGTTTTCCTTTGGGTGAAAGCTGTTCAGCCGGTTTTTTTCCTGAAGCAATTATTTCAGAGTAGAGGTTTGTGAGTAAACCTGGAAATGTGACAAATGCTCTTGAGATTCAAATGCCGCCACCAGTGAGGAATATCCAGAGAGACAGAAATAGTCCTGATGTCAGTCCTGATGCTGGAGAGCAGGGCTGAGGTCTCTGTCTGGCCTGGCAATAGTGCCAGTGGAGCAGACGTCGTAATAGGATAATGGTTTCCAGCTGCTACTTCAGGCTGCGGCGTTTATCACAAGCAAGCTGAGCTGATTATTTTGAAGGCACAAGCCATGGTGCTGTCCTTATGTTCTTTTCTTTGGCTGCTTTACCTCTGCTGTGGTGGACCAGTCCTGTAAACATAACCATTTTACTTCACAGATTCGAAAGCAGTGGCGTGACAAACCCGCCCAATATCTGCTCTAGTGTGTCAGTGACAGCTCTGGAGTATTCACCTGCAGTGAATTGCAGTAAAGCAATCCCTGCAGTGGGGAGAAGGGAGCATGGGTGGGTCTTTAAAGGACTGCAAATACCCGTTTCCTAGGTGTAGCCGTGAGCAGTGAGAACACAGGTTTTACAGTGCTTTGAAAAAGCTGCCTGGAAGCTGGCTCTGCCTCAGTTTGATTATCCGTAAAGCCATATTAAAGACCACTAAGCCATCTTACTGTGAAGATATGCAGGATGCACTAGAATGTGGAAAGTACTGATATTTCAGTAAATTAGCTCTTCAAGTATGATAAATATTTATGTCTTTCCAATAACATGACTATTTCTTTTTACATAGGTGTGTTTACCTTTATAAACTCAAAAGGTCTGTTTCATGTCTTTAGAAAAAAACTCTATATTGATATGAATTCAAAATTTTCAAGCTTGCATTGTTCAGCTTACTTAGGGAGCAATACATATTTAGACCTTAGTTTCCTGAGACTATCCAGTAACTGATGGCTTTCCTAATTATTTTGATAGGTTGTGACAGAACCACCTAATGGTCTGAAACCGAATATGAGAGCCACCTACTTCAGAATTCCCCAGGAAGCCCTAGAGCAGTGCCCCCATCCTGCCTCTAAATCCTCAGTCTATGTCTTGGCATTTTTCCATGCTGTGGTTCAGGAGAGAAGGAAGTTTGGGAAGATTGGCCGGAACGTACCCTATGATTTTAATGAGTCTGATTTCCAGGTAAGAAGATAATTACAATGGCTCTAATGTTCTTGAATTGCTCAGATTACTTTTGAAAACATATAATCTATGCAGCTTTACTCCTTTCTTGCAATAACATTTTGCTTCATTTTTTTCTGCTCCTGTGGAGTTCCTGATCTCTGAGATCAGGAATGTAGGTTCCCGATCTTCTATAATCTCAATTTTGGGCACTAAAAATTAACCAGATTCCCAATCCTTCATGTTTATATTGCCTTTCTTATGGGTGTCTTTTCTTAAGAAGTTGTATACTTTTTAATTATTTGAGAAAGAAATGATCGTTAGCTTTCAAACAAGAACGATGTTAAATAAAATCTATGGATATATAGAGTTGATTTACGAATAGTCTTATCTCACGCATTCCAACAACTTTATTAGGTCTGCTTGGAAATTCTTAACACGTACTTGACAAAAGCTTTCCAACAAAATGATAATATCCCCTGGAGCAGCCTCAAACACCTTATTGGTGAGGTGAGTGCCTACAGTGTCACTAAGGCATGCTTGATGGCTGCAGCTAAGTGAAGCTTCCTTCCTGCATGGGCCGTGTCATTGAGTGAAGCTGGCTGGAAATCTCTCCTGGGCACTCTTGAAGCTCCTCCTAGCCCTGAGCAAGTTGCTTAATCTCATTGTCTCCGTGAAATGGGGCTGTTGTGTGTACCTGCACAGGGGAGTTATGGTGCTTAATTAATTTTGAGTGAGGGAGCCCTTGGGATCCTCTGATGAAAGGTACTGAGTTGCACAGCTTTACAGTACTGTTAGTGCCGTGGAGCATTACTGACGTGAGAGCTGTACAGAGCTGTGTGTGATGGGTGCTGTGTAGCAGCTGGCCTGCTCAAAGGAAGGTGCCTAAGGAAGGTACCATGGTGCCTCGATCTCCAGGACTTGTTATGAGGAGTGGCCCAGAGCAGCCATCTCCAGGCTGCGTCTGAACACCTCCTGCTTGCTCCTCCTTGAGAGGGAGCTGGAGAAGATGTACTTGGTGTCCTTTGAGGGAGTCAATGTTGCACCATGCAGTCACTGCAAAAGCGCAGCGGTTTGGACCTTTCAGTGATTTGTTTTTAACTGTATTTGCTACCCCAAAAGCCAGTGCTATAATACTGATGTAACTAATTTCTAGGTCATGTATGGTGGGCGCGCAATTGATCGTTGCATCCTGACTCTCTATATGGACGAGTACTTTGGTGATTTCATATTTGACACACTCCAAAAGTTTCTTTTTTATAAAAACGACAGTGTTCATTATAACATTCCACAGGGGACTGTAAAAGATGACTTTGTTGGTAAGAAATGCTTTTCCAGCCACATAAGTTAGCATTAAAAACAGCAACAAAGAGTCTACTTAGAGTATGCATTTTCTCCATCTGTCCATTGCTGGATATGAGCAGTTGAAAGCAACTTCAGGCATTGCCTGTGTATGCATTGCCATGGTGTAGTCCACTGATGATAATGTTCTTCCTTTCTGTGAGTAGACTTTTGCAATGTGAGCTTAGCAGCGAGCTTGTAATTGCTTCAAAAAAAACACCAAAACCCTAGGTAAACAGTTAATGTTAATTTTCTAATTATTAAGTGATACAATTCTGGGGGGGGGGTGATGGGAGGCGTGGGGGGTGTGTATGTGTCTGCGTGTATGTTTGTGTGTGTAGCTGTGGTTTAAGATGTCGTATCTTGAGGAAGCGTGTGTTTGTATTGCAGAGGCGATAGAAACTCTGCCACTTGCTAATACCCCAGAGGTATTCGGTCTTCATCCAAATGCCGAGATTGGGTATTACAGGCAGTTTGTGATATTTGCTCCCACCCCCTTGAGCTGCAGCCTCAGACAGGTCTGTTCTCCTTTACTTTGAATTATTTTTATAAATAAGGGGTAATGAGGTGGCTCCTCACCACGGGGATTGCGATCCCAGCCATGCCAGCGCCCACCGCAGAGGTGCCTGGGCAATGCCGTGGATGCTGTAGCGCGTCGCACCGGGGAGCGTGGGAGCCAGAGAGGCACCCGCAGGCTGGTGCACGGAGGAGGGTTTTGGTTTCAGCAGTAGCACAGGGTGGCATCTGCTGGCCTGCCCTGGGATGGGTGCGTGGTAGGATTGGGTAATGACCCTGGGGAGCAGAGGCAGTGAAGCAGCGGGCACTGGGAGGTGAGCGAAGCAGCCGAACCGCTCAGTCCTGCCAGCATGGAGCTGGCTCAACACATGCCCAGGAGCACTGCTTGAGGCACCCAGGGAGGCTGCTAGCACAACATCAGTGCTGCGGAGGGTGGGAGGCTTTGGTGCCAAAAGGCCCATCAGGTCCCAAAGTTCTCTTAGAGAATTAATATAGAAGGCGTCATCTGTGCAGATTTAGCCTCACTAAATCATTTTCGTTTCAGGTGAAACTGGAACAGGAATTAGTCGAGACGATTACATTGCAAATGTTGCTAAGGATATAGAAAACAAAATACCGCAAGTATTCGATGTTGACCACATACGGAAAGGTTTTGAACCAGACATCGCCCCGACGACTGTGGTGCTGTTGCAGGAATTGGAACGTTTCAATAAGCTGATCATTCGAATGGCAAAGTCATTGGCTGAACTGCAACGTGTACGTGAGAACACAGCTACTACTGAAATCAGCCAGGCTTTACCTGGCCTGGGCTGGCACCCACTCACTCTCTTTCCAGGCCTTGGCTGGGGAAGTTGGAATGAGCAGTGAACTGGACGATGTAGCTCAGGCTCTCTTTAACAGGCAGATCCCTGGAATCTGGCAGCGGCTGGCCCCCGACACGTGAAAAACGCTTGGAAATTGGATTATTTTCTTTAGAGATCGGTATAACCAGTACACCAGTTGGGTGAGTGCCTCCAGAATGTTTCTTGTTTTGTTAACCTGCATTATGTGCTATGCAAATTGGTGCAGAACACACACTGCTTTAGGTAAGTTACTTGAGCTAACGCCAACCACCACCTGGAACGATAATGAGCAACGGCACGACGGTGGGTGCAAGACAGACTGCCCACTGGCTTGTTGTTAAGAGTATTGGCCTCTGGGCTGAGTACAGGTGTGATGGGAGAACCAGGTGCTGCAGCTCATCCCCTGTGATTGCAGGTTAACAAGTGCGAGCCGAAGGTGATGTGGCTCTCAGGCCTGCACATCCCAGAGTCTTACCTGACAGCTCTTGTTCAAGCCACCTGCAGGAAAAACAAGTGGCCCCTGAATCACTGCACCCTCTACACAGAGGTAACGGCGTACAGGACAGCAGAAGACATCACTGAGGGGTCTATTCAAGGAGGGTGTCTTTAGGATTATTTGGCAAAAAATAATGAAGTAGTTAATTGGTGAGTGAGAAATTGCCTGGCATACTGAGTAAATTACTTGTACCTCCGCAGACAATAGCTTTGGTTATGCATGGGCAGTAGCTGGGTACAGCAAAATACAGTTTGCTTTCTTCAGCTCGTCACCCACATGCACGTGCTTGAACTTGCGCCTCGTCCTTGCTCTGTCTTTATATGTACTTTTTATATATATATATATATGTATGTATGT